GTGTGTGTGTGTGTGTGTGTGCATGTATGTGTGTGTGCATGTGAGGGGACAGTGGAGATATTTTTATTTTTTGGTACTAGGGATTGAACCCAGGGGCACTCAATCCCTGAGCCACATCCCCAGCCCTTTTTTATAATAATATTTTGAGACAGTCTCACTAAATTGCTTAGGGCCTTGTTAAGTTGCTGAGTCTGGCTTTGAACTTGTGATCATCCTGCCTCAGTCTCTTGAGCCACTGGGATTCTACAGGTGTGTGTCACTGAGAGAGATTTTTAAAGGAGTGCAGTACCCTCCTGAGTCAGCATATTAGCAGCAGAAAGGTTGGGAGAGCCCCCCAGAGGGCAGATATTTTAGAGGGGAGCCTAGGCTATGAGACCCAGTTATGATTCCACACAGAGAATGTTCCACTAGAATCCTTAGAGGGTGTGCTGGATTTAGCAAGGTTCCCCAATTTTTCATGTCCATCCAGAGCCTCAAAATATGACCTTATTTGTAAACAGGTTCTCCACAGAGAAGTTCGTTTTCTTATGATGAGGTCATATGGATAAGAGTGAACCCTAATTTTATAACTGGTACCTTTTAAAAAATTTTTAATTTAATTTAGTTTTTTAATTTATATATGACAGCAGAATGCATTACAATTCTTATAACATATATAGAGCACAATTTTTCATATCTCTGTATACATAATCTCACCAATTCATGTCTTCATACATGTACTTTGGATAGTAATGATCATCACATTCCACCATCATTAATAACCCTATGCCCCTTCCCTTCGCTTCCCGTCCCTCTGCCTTATCTAGTGTTCATCTATTCCTCCCATGCTCCTACTCCCTATCCCACTGTGAATCAATCACCTTATATCAAAGAAAACATTCGGCATTTGGTTTTTTGGGATTGGCTAACTTCACTTAGCATTATCTTCTCTAACCCCATCCATTTACCTGCAAATGCCATGATTTTATTCTCTTTTATTGCTGAGTAATATTCCATTGTGGGTATATGCCACATTTTTTTTATCCATTCACCTATTGATCTTTATAGGAAAATGGAAATTTGGGAAGAGAAACAGATACCCAGAGAAGGCCATATAAAGACAGAAAGAAGCAAGGACTGGAGTGATACACAGGCAGAGGTTGGAGAGATGTGCTGTAAACCAACAGCTGCTGAGGACTGTTAACAACTACATCCTCATAAACCAGGAAGAAGCAAGTGAGGATTCTTCCTTGGATCTTTCAAAGGGAGCATCGCCTGGCTGTTATCCTGATTTGGGACTTCTAGCTTCCAGAACTATGTGAAGATAATTTCTGTTGTTTTAGGTCACACGGATACTATGATGGCAACCCTAGGAAATCAGTAGAGGCCAAACCTTGGTTCATCTGTGATGCTGCCTACAGTGTACCCCATGCTTCTCCTATCCTGTGAGTTGTTTCACCAATGGCTCAGTCTCAGTTGTAAATCTGCCTCCTAAAGTCCCTATTCCGGAGGAGAAAGACACCCAGCTGAAGATGGACCAGCCAGCACCATGTTCCTTCCCGTCTCTGGACCTAAATGATAAAGAGAAACTGTTTTACTTCCCTCTGCTCTCCATTTTATGCTCATTTTTCCTGGTTTAGTTAGACCCTCAGGGTTAACATGGATTTTAAAAATTCCTAGTCCCCACTGAATGCCCGACTTCTCTTGGCAATGTCTCTAGTAAGAGGTCATCTTTCCCTCTCCCCTAGTTCAACTCCTCTGAGATCGCAAGAATATCTTATTGCCCCTTCCTTCTCCCTCTCACCCTTCCATGGATATTCATCAACTACCAGCTCTGTGCAGAGAGCAAAAGACTGAGCCCCTACCCATATATTTGATGCTATAAAGCTCTTCCTTTGTCAGCCTCTGATCTGCTGTCAAGGCAAGCCAAGCCTGTTGGTGGTCTAGGCAGGCAGGAGAATTGTGGTGGTGAACTTGTCACTACTCCCCTTCAAGGTCAATCATGTCCTGCTCTCACATCTAGACCAGTGTAGGCATCAGGAAAGGAAAAACGGTTGAGATGGCATCTTACTCCTCTTTAATCAGTCTGGGTTGCTGTAGGTGGCCTCCAAACCCATTTTACAAGGCAATTAATGTTTAAAACCCTCCAACCATGAGAGAATTGGCCACCTCTATGCTGTATTTATCTCCAAATCAAATTAAGTATCTGATGTGTGTTCAGAAGGGATTGCTTTTATTATATGGGACACACATTGTCACATGATGTTGAAGAGTGTTATCACACGTGTATTTGCCAAAATGCAATATATGTAATTATATATTTCATTGTATAAGAAATAAAATCTTTGGCAGGGTTACCCAATGCATTGAATAATCTGATGACATTTTATGGACATTTTGGAGCTGGCAGAAACTTTGTAATGATCTAGCTTTCTCATTTTTATGACAGAGGAAACAAAAGTAGAAAGAGCTAACTTACCCTGTCCCACAGAGAGCCAGAGACTGACGGGAGAATCACACTCACATCTCTGGCTTCTTCCCAGTGGCCTGCGGGGATGTATTCCATTTGTGGATGAGACTCCTGAAGCTTTTGAAAAGCGAAACCTTTGATGGACAGCCAAGGTCATGTGACTGGTGTTTTTATACAATATGGGAAGGGCACTTTATTTGTTCTTGGAGATAGACACCTTGAAAGCTGGATAGAGGTAAGGACCATTTGACATGTGTTTCCTTTTGAGTTTAAAATTCTATGGTGGGGTTCAGCTTCTGTTAAGTAATTGCATAACAGACCATAATGGAGAGGGAACCAAGACTGGCTTGGGGGTGGAGATCTTTTTCCTACTGCCAGCAGTGACCAAGATGGGCCATTCATTTGCTTTTGATGGGGTGGGTCTGGGACAAAGTGAGGCTATGTCCTTCCTGTGCTCCGAAGAACTCTCAGAGTTAATGTGGTTTCTTAGCAAGAAGGACTTAAGCCAAATAGGAAATTGACCTAAGAAAACTCAGATCACCAGTCCCCAAATATCTGCTTTGAGATACAAGGTGCTGCCTCACCCTGATCCATTATTTGACTTCCTTGAGCTCTGACCCAGACTGCTGATCACACAGCAGTGCCAGGACAGCCCCTGGGAAGGCTGAAATGGGGTTGAGTTATCATCACTGATGTTTGGGGAGCTCAGCTGTTCCTGAAGGCTGTATGGAGCCCATAGACAGTCCTGAGAAAGTATAGTATCTATTCTGGATAAGGTGGCAAGACAGGTTGTGGGTGAAGGAGAAAGAGTTGGAGCTCATTCATTCACCTATTCCATTCATTCAACAAATATTTGCTGAATATTTGCCATATGCCCTTCGTGCTTTAGGGAGCTGTTAGATAATGCAGTAAACTAGGTCCTTGTCCTCCTGGAGCTCCCATTTCAGTGGGGAGACAGAAAATAAGCAAGTAAATATTTTCATGTAGAATATATCATCAAAAATCAACAGATACTGGGAAGACAAGCCAAGTGGAAGCATCAAGAGCAAAGGGTTGTGCAATTTTAGAGAGGGTATTCAGACCCCTCTGAAGAGGGCACAATTGGGCAGAGAACTGAGTATAGTGAGAAAGCAAACCAGAGGTCTATTTGGAGGAATGGCATTCCAGACAGAATGAAACGAAGGTGCAAAGACCCTGAGAGGGAAGGATGCTTGCCACGCCCACAGGGAGGGGTGGAGGGGAGGTGGGAGTGTCTGGAGAAGAGTGAGACTGGAGAGAGGAGGTGAGAGATGAGGGCAGGAGAGGAAGCACAGGACTAAGCCAGAAGGACTTGTAGATCATGGTAAAGGTTTTAAAATTTATTTTGAGCATCATGGGGAGCCATTGGAGGGTTTTGAGCAGATAGTCTTGGGGTTGCATGTAAAAGAGACCTTTGGGGGTCAGATGGGAAATGGAGAGTTGGTCAGGGAGGGTCCTGCAGGCAGCCCGTGGCTCTATTGGCTGGGTGAGCAGGGGTAGAGGTGAGGGATGTAGAGGATCTCATTTTGTGTGAAGGCATGAAAGCACTTTCCCCTCATCCTTCCAGCTTCCTTCCGATACTCTTTTTTATTGATTTAAAATAAAATAAATGACAGCAGAATGCATTAAAATTCTTATTACACATATACCACAATTTTTCATACCTCTGTATGTAAAGTATTTTGACACTCCATTCGTGTCTTCACACACGTACTTTGTTTAATGATGTCTATCATATTCCACCATCCTTGCTAATCCCCTGCCCCCTCCCTTTCCTTCCCACCCCTCTGCCCTATCTAGAATTCATCTGTTCTTCCCATGCTGATATTTTTTAATACCCTCTTCTCCCCTGAAGCCTCCTGGACTGGGCAGGAGAGAATCAATGGCTTCCTGCTCCCTGTGTTCCCACTGTTCTTCCTCCTAGGGCAGGATAAGAAGTACTGAGGAAGGGGTTAGGAAATCTTAACTCCAGGTCTAGGCCTTCCATAACTACCTGATGTACTTGAGCACCTTGCTTGTCGTTTCTGAGGTTTCATTTTGGCACTCTTAACATAGTGCCTATCTTCTCTTTGGTTTCTTGCCCCACAGGCTAGTTGTTAGATAATGTGAGCAAATAATTTTGCAAATAGTCAAGAGTTAAGCACACACAAAAAAGGATCTCACTCTCTTTTTTTTTGTTGTTGTTGTTGTTAATCATTATCCTACCTATTCAGAAATAACCTATCATATGCTAAAGAGGTGGGATGAAAAATACCATCTCAGTGAACTGGAAGAAAATTAACCAGAGCTAACCAGCTGCACAGAGTCTTTCAAGAACTTGGTGGTCAGAGAAAATGTGTTCATGTGAGCTTCTTTGTTTTGCTCTCTTAAGTTCTGGAGAATACAGGACCCAAGGGATAGATGGGAAAAGTGGTGTACAGAACAATGGGCTGTACCAACCTCTGTCTTCCAGACTAAGATTGCTTTGCAATCTCTGAGCTCTACTATGTGAGGCAGGAAAGGGGCCTTGACTTGCTTAAAGAGTTTCAGCAAAGCTTGTGGAATAAAAGGATGTTAGGTTACCTCCTGTGTTGGAGTCCAGCATCTGTCTATAATTCTTCCCTCCTTCTTTGCCTTCCGTGGTTTCTCCACGGCTCTGGTATAGTTCCCCATCTCTTTGACTTTGAGCTCAATCATATGGATTGTTTTGATCAATCAGATGTGGACAGAAGTGACATACTGCAAATTCCAAGCTGAGAATTTAAGAGGCATGGTGAATTTCTGTCAGTCTTCTTGGAGTCTCTGGTCTACATTATGAGAATAACATGGCCTAGCACAGAGTGAAGACACAGATCAGAAATACTCCAAAGCATGAGTACAGTTTAGTTTATGGAGTTCAGATCAAGTCTTGCAGAGAACCAGTTAAACTGCAGTTAACCTTTGAGTATGAAATGTATGCATTTTGTTAATCCACCAAGATGTTGGGATTGTTTGTTACATGGCATTGTTATAGTAAAACCTGACTCATACACCTTGTGGGATGACAGAAAGACTGCTAACTATTTCAGCCTGTCCTCCAGTTATTTTGAATCCTTGGGGTTACTCTATGCTCCCCAGGGAAGTGCTCAGTTTTGTATTTGATTCCTTCTATGGCTAAACCTTCTTTGCTTATGTCAATTGATCTTTACTAATAGAATAGTTTTAAAGAGCAAACTCTATACCCAGGACATGGATTGTCCTCACTCAGTATTAGACCTATGTTGATCCCAAAGTGAAAGTATTGCCATTAAGATAACTAATAGAAACATTTGAAATGGAAGGCCAGAACTTTGGGTATATCAGGCCACAAGGCTTCAAATAGGAAATAGGTCAAGGTGTTATGATAGAGATAAGTCCACAGAAAATCATCTGCAACTGCAGTGTCATCTTCATGTTTGAAGAGTGACTCAGATCAAAGCTCTGGGACTTGGTGAATCAGGAAATAACTTTTCTCTTGGCAGCAATTGCCATCACTTGGGTTTATCAAATAAGATTTTAATCTCCAACCCCTGTGTCTCTAGCTATGCCTACTAGGTGGAGAGATGAATGACCTTCAGGAGCTCTTCCAGCTTTTTGGAACGAGGAAAGCTTCCTACAGGACTGGAGGAGTAGGAGAGTGTAATGTGAGAGACCCCTGGACCAGAGTCACCTTGGCGTCTTCTGACATGCAGCGTGTCTGAGTCATAAACTCTGGACTCATCTCAGGGCTGGGCAGGGTTTTCAAATCATTTGCCACTCCCTGTCCTAATGACTGGAACTTTGGAACACATCTGTGAGAAACAGGTGAGAGAAAATGCTCTTCTTGAGGCTACATATATTATCTGTGGATAACTCTGTGCTGTGGTCAGAATATGTGGCCCTAAAATTCTTATGTAAACATACTCATCTCCAGTGTGATAGTGTCTGGAGATAGTGCTTTGGGGAGATAATGAGGTTTAGCTCTGGTCATGAGACCCGAGAGCTTGCTCCTGCTCTGCTCTCTGCTATGGGAAGACAGCCATCTGCAAACCAGGCTGTGAGCCCCCACCAGATTCTGGATCTGGATCTGCTGGGACCTTGATCTTGGACTTCAGAACTATGAGAATATACATTCTATTGTTTATCTCATCCAGTCTAAGGTAATTTGTTATGGTAGCCTGGGCTGAAGCACTCTTGTTATTAAGAAGTTTCCTCACACTCTTCTAGCTTTTCACATATTTTAAAGGTTTAGGACAGGTGTTGGCAAATTTTTACTCTAAAAGGTCTAATAATAAAAATTTTATACTGAGCCACCCAGTCTCTTGTGAAAGGAGTCATCGAGAAGATGTAAAGGAATGGTGTAACTGTGCTCCAATAAAGCTTTATTTATGGACACTGAGATCTCAATCTAATATGATTTTCACCTGTCATGAAACATAATTATTATCATCCTGATTTTTCCCAACTATTTCAAAATGTAAAAGCCATTCTTAGCTTGTGGGCTATATAAGAACAGGTGGGGCAGATAGGCTCACAGACTCTGGTTCTCCAGCCCTGAGGAAAGCTTCTCCTTATCCTTCCAGACAATCTGTCCATTATGAGTCACTTCTCTGTCACAATGGACAGTCACCAAATAAATACTGAGAATTATTATGGACCAGGGAGAGAGTTTGTATCATGGGATGGAGATAGGAATCTAAAAATGACTAAGGAGCCTGGAGCTAATTTCACAGAGGTGGAGCTATTTCAAGGGTCCCTCTCTCTATCACAAATTCCCAGTGGCCCTTAGGGTCAGAGAGATGTCTACTTCCATCTAAACATTTCTTGAGTCCATTTATTTTACTTGTGCCTCATGCTCAGTGCACAGTGAAATAGAAGACCAAGTTTAGCACATTTTGATTACTTGCTGACCTTTGGCACTCATGGGTCTATTTTAAGTCGTCTGACCTTCTGTTCTTTTGAAGGAGACATGGAGGTAGACAAAATTCTTTTACCAAGATAAGCAAACTGTTCATTCAAAACTCACAAGTTTCTCTTCATTTACAACATGGTTTCCTCCCAAAGCACTCCAAAAGTGATTGCACACCTACCCATCGACACTCCTGGCAACGTGTGGTGTGTATGGTTTGCTTTCCCCATTTGCGTGACATGGAGACCATCTAAAGCAGTCCTGAGGGAACTTACATTGCCCACTTTGGGGAAATAAATGAACTGAAACTCAACACCACTGCAGGAGTAGGGGTGCCACTATGATGAGGTCTTAAACTGCAGTTTAGTGGAAATCTAAGATTGCATGTGGCAATAAAGGACTGACAAAGCCACATGGCAACATTCACTCTGCCTTTTAAGCTCTAACCAGATGTTCTGGAGTCCAGAGACTCCTGATTCTGGACTCTCTCTGGAAAGAGTCAATCCAAGGCTTCCTACTGACTTCTTTCCCCTATAAGTCCCCATTCGGTTTCTAAACCCTGTTTTCAAGGGTTCTAGACAAAGTTCCTGGGTCCCTACATGGAGTTGGAGAGTTTTGCAGACAGAAAGCTTTTTCCTGCAGGCTCCCTTCCTTTCCCAAAGAGCCCTCATCCTGGAAAGGGCTGCCTGTCCCAAATTGAGTGGGTCCCTGCTCTTTGTTAGTGAAGAGCCTGTGAACTGTCACTCCAGGACCTACATGGCTCAATTCCAGTAAAAATCTAAAATTCAGAGGATTATTAAATTCAACAAAAAAAATTCTGGAATAAATAATTTGTTCACTCATCCTTTCATCCAGTGAAGATTATTGAGTGCCAACTGTTTCCCAGGATTCAAAAGGGACATGCAGGTAAAAAGGCTTGGCCCTGGCCTCTGGAGCCTTGCCTGCACAGTGAGATGATAATTGCACTGGGATGTTCTGAGTGTCCTTTTAGAGGCATGGACCATTTCCATGGGGCAACAGAGGCGATGCTTTCCTGCTTTCTGACGGACACCATTGTAGGTACCCTGGGCACTTAGACCTGTTAGGGGTGATAAGAATGGAGCTCACTCTCTCTAGCTCATAGCCACACTTTGCAACTATCTCCCAAACAAGCACACACCTGGTTCCTAATGTGGAGAGTTCAGTGCAAGGCCCTCCAAGCACTGGGAACAGGACTCCTAATATTTACAGTGCTAACTGCAAAGGAGGCCACACATCAGAAGAACCAATAATAATAACGGCAACAATAATAAGAGCTAATGCTTATGGGTGGCTTACCGTGTGCCCAGCAGAGTGCTAAGAACTTTGAATGTGTTTTCCATTTGAACCTTCACAGCAACCATTTGTGGTACATATAGTTACTGTGCAGAAGAGGGTAAAAAATGTCAAAAAGTTAAGTATCTTGCCAAAGATCTACAAAATCATGCAGCTTGAATTGGAACCCAGACAGTGAGAGTTCAATGCATCCTGTTGAATCATCTCTATGGAAATTGAGATAGTAAACTATGTGTTACACTTCTCTTCTGGATTGAGGCTTTTCCTTCCCAAGTCACATTTAACCCAAGTGGCATCCCGGGAGGTGAGCATCTCATCATTTCCATTTTTAGATGAGATTCCTGCAAGGAAATGACTTGTCCAGGACCAAGTGTAGTCTTGAGCACACTTCACATCTTGTCTGTCTATAGCCCCAAACCAGAGATACAAGAGAAGGAGACTCTGGACTGCCCTCAGAACACTTACAGTCTGGGCAGAAGACAGGCTTAATCTACTTGTCATTCATTTACAACCCTTAGGATCCCTTGCTAATGATGCTAATTTCCATGACCTCACTCTGTGCAGAGACTGGAAAATGTAAGTTGTCCCCTGAAGGATGGACACTGGGGTTCAAAAAGAAGGAGGTGAAATAAAAGGAAGCTGTCCTCTTGCTAATTAAAATGTGGCTTCCAGATCAATAGTACTGGGGTCACTTAGGTGCTTGAGCTACTATAGGGTGATGGGTATTTCCAGGACACGGTGCTCTTCCTTGGGTAACACTGACCACCCAGAGCTGAATGTCTTCCTTAGCCACATATATCTCTGAGCATACAGCTGACAGACTGAGAGAGGCCTGGGTTCTAATCAGTACTTTCTCTCATTTGCTGCATGACTTGGGGAAAGTTCTAAGCCCTCTCTGGGACATTTTCCATCTGTAAAATGCCCAGATCAGTCATTTTCAATCCTGAGCTGACCATTAGTCTAGGGAACTTTTAAATAATTATGATGCCTGGGACCTACAGCCAGAAATTCAGATTTAATTAATAAGGGATGAGGCCCAGGTATTGATACTTTTAAAATGCCCCACATCACTATAGAAGATCCCCAGTTTATGATGGTTCAACTTATGACAGTTTTGACTTTATGATGGCCCCAAAGCAATAAGCATTCAGAATTTTGAATTTTGACCTTTTTCCAGGCTAATGATACATGATATAATGCTCTCTTAAGATGCTGGCACCTTCAATGAACTCCCAGTCAACCCCACGATCACAAGGGGGAAGCCACCAATATCCTATAGCTCACTGTGTTGCTTAGCTAGGATGTTTGGCATCCTACTTGTAGTAAATGCCTTTTTGATTTACAGTATTTTCAAACTGCAATGGATTCATCTGGACATAACCTGATCATAAGTAGAGGAGCATCAGGATCTTGCACAGCTGGTGTTGAGAAGCTGGAACCAGATCATTGGTTTTCCAGCTTCTGGAGGCAACAGCATGACCTTGATCTGGGGGCTCCTGAAGGATTCGGATGCTCAGGCCCACTCAGACCTTCTGAGTTAGAATTTCCCAGTGTGGGGTGGAGCTGGGCATGAGTGCATTTAAAAAGCTCTGGGAATGCTGCTGACAGCTAAGCTTGGGAACTCCTGGAATCTATGGCGTCTGAGGTCTCTTTCAGCTCTGACTCTGAGGTCCTTCCAGGCAATGATTTTATTCTTTTTTTTTCCCCCATGCCAGAGCCGCCCGTTGGTGGTAAGCAGAGACGTCACCAGCTTGCAAGCTAAGCTTCAGTGTCCCCTGAGAATGCAGCCAGCTGGCAGCAGTGCAGAAAAGTGGTAAACACATTGAGCTTTCTTTATCAGCTGTGCCACGTACATGATGTGACAGCGGACTGGCTCTCAGGGTCAAGGCCAGCAGGGCCACTGAGGCTTTGTGTTAGCAGTTTGTCACTGCTGCTCAATTTTCTCTGCTCTATGCTTTGGCTCAAAGGTGGGTACTAGCCATAGGCTGCTACTGCCTGGACCCCAGCCCCAAACCCACTGGAACAGGAAAGAGATCAGCTTTGGAGACTTAGACTCTCGGGTAGCCCCTTATGGTGGGATGGGTGAATGCCTTGATTCCAGAAGAATCCAGGGCTAGAAAAAGGAACTGAGAGGAAGTATTGAAGCAGGCTTCAGGGCAGAGCTCTGACCCTACCCTGACTCAGAGAAGCCATCCTGATGTTGCCTTTCTTCCACACACATGTGGTGGTTTAATGCAATGGAATTTATTGTGGATAATGGAGTTTCAAGCTCCTATGGCTAATGAATGATTTCAAACGTGGAGAAAGATTTATTAAATAAGTCAAGCATACGCCTCTGTGAGAAGATGACTGTGAGTGAAAACAATTACATAATTAAACAAGGAGGAAAGAATTTAAATGCATATTCAAAGTTTTCTATCCGTTTAAATGTCTGATTCGATAAAAAAAGTTTGGGAGAATAGTTTCAACAAATTAGTCATCAAGATTTAATTTTTTTTTTTTTTTTGCATTCAACAAGAAACCAACAACTCAGGTTGACATTTAAAGACATTACTGATTGGTGTTTGGAGAAGAAAACAAAAAAGCCTAGGAAATAAGTTCGGCAGCCTCTTGCAGTTCCTAGGTTCTGGTTTCCTAAGTACTCAGTGGACCTCTCCCTGCAGTGGAAGGCAGAGTCTGAGAAGCAGCAGGAACTAGTGTTCAGAGAGGAAAATCAGGGATGGGTTCCTGATGGTAGCAATGGTCCAGAACCTTACAGAAACCTTGGCCCATTTTGTTGCGTATATGGAGAAGCTGAGGCTTCTCCAAGGTCGAATGGGTGATACACTGCTCCATTGCTCTTTCTGTGAAATGGGAGTAATAACATTGGCTTTAGCAGTATCCAGGAGGAAGGTATGCAATGGTTAGTCCCTGGAAGTGATGGGTGTGGGAAGGATTGGTGGTGAGCTTCCATGGTAGGTTCACTTTGTGAGGGGCCTACCCACCTTGGCCACCTCACCAGTTGTGCTACCAGAATCAGGGCTGGTTGAGGATGGCCTGTCCCCTCACTGAGCTGAGGACAAGCACAGGCACGAGAGCCCCTGACATTTTCCTTGAGACGGTGACAGCTGGTGAAACTTTTGACTAAAGGAATAAAGAGCAAGTGGCAAAAAAAAAAAAAAGTTAATGTGTTAAAAATGGTTTAAAAATGTGCTCTACCATCTGTTTGGCCACCAAGGTTTTTTGGGGCATGCGTGGGAGGAGAGACCTCGTCTCCCACTCCTGGGTCTCACCTCAGTCAGGGCCAATAATGAGGAACGTTACAAAGTCTGTGATTTTGTTTTCCATTTCTCCCAACCTTTCTTTCTGTTCCTGATATGCAGGTCCTTACTTTGTTTCCGGAAAGGATGTTTTTTTTTAATTTTATTTCCCCAATTGAAATTAGTAATGAAATTTGGTAATAAAATTCGAAATCTGCAAAACCCAGTGTACTCAGCTCAAAAGACACGTTTTTTGGGCTAGAGTTATAGCTCAGTGGTAAAGTGCTTGTCTAGCGTGAGTGAGGTACTGGATTTGATTCTCAGTGCCACATGAAAACAAATAAATAAAATAAAGGTTAAATTCTTAAAAAAAGCAGGGGGAGGGTGCGTTTTTGATTTTGGCATTTGATTGCTGAAGTCTGATCCTATTGTAAGAGAAATGGGACTTCACTATTTATTTATTTATTTTTATTAGAGCATTATAATTATACATAGTAGTTAGGTTCATTTTGACAAAATCAGACATGCATGGAATTTGATTGACTCCATTCCAATCCCTTTCTCCGCCTTCCCTAACCTCTTTCCTCCTCCTATTCTCCTGATCCTTCTGCTCATTTATATATTTATTTTTGATCAGTATTTTCTACTTATAAATAGAGGTGGAACTCCCTGTGGTATATCTATGTATGCACATGGTGTGATTTTGTTGAATTCATTCTGCGTTTCCTCCCCTGTCCAGTCTCCCCTCCTCTCTCCTCCATCTCCTTCTTCTACTCCACGGATTTCCCTGTATCTATATGATACTTCATCTTACCCTCTTTTTTCCCTGCTTATTTTTCTCACATTTCCACATATGAGAGAAAGCATTTGGCCCTTGATTTTTTGAGTCCAGCTTAGAGAAATGGAATGTTAAGAGACAGGTATTTAAGCTCTACTCTGCTTAGCTATGTTGTAATCTTTATATTTATTCAGGTTTTCCTTCCTGTCCTAAAGAGTTACACATTTCTCCTGCTGACATTTCTTATTAAGCTTGTCGGAATTATTTTCCAAGGTTCTGTTTCCCTTTTGTTAAAAGGTTATAAAGATCCATATCATAATTAGTTATGGCTGTGGTCCATGAAAGCTATTAATTTTGTGTGTTGATTTTTATATGTGGTCCCCTTGATGAACTCCTGTTTGATTATAATAACCTTTTGGTTCCTGTGGATTTTTTTAGGTAGATGGTTATATCGACTGCAAATATTAACAGCTTTGTCTCTTTCTATTCAGTGTTGAAGTTCTGATTTCCTTGTCTGTCTCCCTGGGCAAGCTTTCAGTACAATATTAAAAAGGAATAGTGATTATGAATACTTTTGCTTTGATTTCTATTTTAATGAGCATTAACTATGAAATATGCTGTGGGTCTATGATAGAAAAACATTATCAAATCAAGTTTGTCAGTTTGTTTTGATCAGAAATGGGAATTAGATTTTGTTAAATTTCAGCATCCAGTTCATTTGTTGAGATGATTTTATCTTAGTGAGAGACATGGCTTGTTTTCTAATTTTGAAACAAATCTTACATTCTGCTCCCAATACACTGCTATTTTTTGATTTTCTATACTTTGTGTAGGATTTTTGTACACATACTCACAAATAATATTGGGTTTTTGTTTTATTGTTTGTTTGCAGTAATGGGAATTAAATCCAGGGGTGCATCCCCAGCCCTTTATATTTTTATTTTGAGACAGAGTCTCCTAAGTTTCCAAGGCTGGACTTGAACTTGAGATCCTCCTACCTCAGCCTCCTGAGTTGCTGGGATTAAAGGCACAAAAGATCATGCCTGGTGTGACTTATGTTATTTTTTCCTCTTTCAACGGTGCTTCTCTTGTCTAGTTTTGGTATAAGGTCATGCTGGCCACACAAGATGACAAGGTAGTTTCCAGGTTCTTCTAGGCCCTGGGACAGTATACTGCATGGAATTATGGATTTCTTGAGTATTTGGTAGAACCTGACCATTAACTTTTCCACCTTACTCCTCTTTTGAGGGGTTTGGATAGGTTGATTTTTTTTTAATTAGTGCAATCTCATCTGTGATTATTATTTCATACTTTCCTTCTTTTTGAAGAAGCTTTTTGTGATTTATTGTTTCCCAGAAGATTATCCAATTTACCTAGATTTTTCAAATATTTTGGTTTAAATTAGCAATACTTTCTCTTTAATTTAAAATATGTTTTGTCTACCCTGTGTCTTTTCTCAGTATTAACACTATTTATTGTGTCAGTTCTCTGTCTTGCCACAGATTATTTTAGTTTATTGATATTTTCAAAGAATCAGATTTTTAGTTTTGTTAGGATCTAAGGTTTTTTTTCTAGTTTCTAATTTTTGCAATTTATTCATATTAATATTTTTCTTTACTTACATTAGGCTTATTTAGTTTTTCTATTTCTAACTTCTTTTTTTTTTTTAGAGAGAGAGAGAGAGAGAGAGAGAGAGAGAGAATTTTTAACATTTATTTTTTAGTTTTCGGCGAACACAACATCCCTGTTTGTATGTGGTGCTGAGGATCGAACCTGGGCGGCACGCATGCCAGGCGAGTGCGCTACCACTTGAGCCACATCCCCAGCACCTATTTCTAACTTCTTACATTTAAAAAATCTTACTTTTTAATTTTTTTTTTTTTAGTTTTTCCCTTTTTCCTGTGTAGTAAATTTAAAACTGTAAATTTTCCTGAGTCTGGTTTATATCTCAGGCTTTGATATATGGTTTCTTCTTGTCATTCATTTCTAAGTGGAAATATTATTTTCTCTTTGTTAACCTAAGAGCTATCTAAAAGGTATTTAACATTTTCGGTTGCAACAATCTTTTTTTTTAAACTATTCTTTTGTTATTAATGTCTGTATTCCAATCCAAATGGTAACCTGACTGACATTTTTCTTAGGGGATTTGCTGAAATTTCCTTTGGAGCCTAATATGTGCATAGTTTCTTTGACTGTTTCATGTATAACTGAAAACAATGTTATTCAGATGCTCTCTCTCTTTACCCAATCTATAGCTACTTGATCTGGAGATTTCTCGGTGACAAAGTATGTCACCGTGATTGTAGCACTTTCTCCTGGTATATCTTTAAGCTTTTGCTGTATATATATTGAAGCTATGTTATTATGTGCATAAAACTTCATGATTGAGATATCCTTCTTTACAGTATTACATCTTATCAAGATGAATAACCTTTCCCCTTCAGCGCATTCATTGCTCTTTGTCTTACCAACTATTTTGCTTGATATGATTATATCTCTGCCTACTCTGTGTTTATTAGGATTTTCCTGGCATAGCTATTGCCATTATTTTATTTTTAACCTCCTTATGTCATTTTGCTTTAGGTATATCTTACCAGCAGCGTTTAACTGGATTTGAGTTTATAAATCTAAGAGTTTCTGTCAATCAACGGGGATTTAAAATCACTAACTTTTATTGAGATGACTGATATCGTTGGACTTAATCCTGTCATTTGTTGTGCATTTGTTTATCATAAATTCTTATTTTCCCCCTTATCTCTCCTATTTTTGTTGAATGATTTTTCATTTCATATTTTCTTCTCTAATAACTTGAAGTCATTCAACCTATTTTCTGCTTCCAATAAATCCACTGCAATAGACTGATGCATTTTAAGAGAAATATGGTTATCTAGAGTCAATCCCTTTCCAGATCCTTCCAGTGAGAAATGCTAACACTTTTACTTCTTGCTTTCTCTTGCTACTCGTTCCTCTCTCCACCTGAACACTTACCATGCTCTTATGACCTAAGACCTCAGTTACAAAATATTCATGATTTTGCTTTAATAGTAAATTGAATTTCAGCTAGTAAACTTTCTTAATCTCTCTGACTCCCTCATTTAATGTGGCTTCTTGGGCTCCAGGTTTTCCCGTCTGGTTTCCTTTTTCATTTCATATTGTTCCATTCTGTCTTAAGAATTCTTTCTTCCATGATTGAAAATATTTTAATTTTCCCTACTTATGATGTAAAGATAATTATCATGGGCATCGAATTCTAAGTTAAAATAAATTCTCTCATAACTTTGAGATGATTATTGTTCTGTTGCCTGTTGCATTCAATGGTACCAGGAAGGATTT